GCTTTTGAATTTAAGTAAAAAGCAATCGAAGAGAGATATGGATGATAAAGTCAGACAGATACTACAGTGCAGTGTTTGAACTTCTTGAAGCCACACATTTTCTAATTACCATATTTCACCTATTCTAAGATGCCACTGATTCTAAGACACACTAATTTCACTACTAACAACATAAAAAACCTTTATTTATATTTTAAAAGCACCTGAGATGCTGAGTCACACACCATTTTTACTAAATTACCTTCCCAAAATTAGGGGGCACATTAGATTTGCGTAATATGGTAAATACTTGGGTTTCGGGGTTTTGAAAATTGAGGTGTGCATCAGATTTGATGGTGCATTAGACTCAAGTAAATACAGTAATGATACCATTAAAACAACAATGTGAAGCAACAAGAATTACCTTCCTGAAACTACTAATCTCCCTCTTGAGAGATATATGAAAGCTTAATGTCATGCTCAGGGCAATCCACAATTACAGCCATACACACAGAAATGCATATCCCAAAGTAACACAACTTTTGGGCAAGATCAAATCTCAGATTCTGAATATAAAAGCTGAAACTGATAATTCATTAAATTACTTGGTAAATGTTTGTAAGTACTGTAGCTAGAAGAAAGTGAACATCCAATGCATTCAAGAGAGACATAAAGTAGTGACACTTTATATGTATAGATCTTTTCCAAATACAACTTAATGTATTGGTTATGGCCTATAACAGTACATATAAAAAGTATTTAGGAGTCTTATTAGACCACAAATTTAACATGAGTTAAAAGTGTGATGAAGCAGCTATAAAAGCCAAAGCAATTTTAGACTTCTTACTATCAACTTTATTACAATATGCATAAAATATACTGTGACAAGACCTCTGCTGGAAAAGGTAACTCTGAACCTCATCATTCTAGTTTCCAATATTTCATCTTTGGGAGAAATGCTGCAGAGCATCTTTCAGCTCCATAGATTTCCAGATAAAACAAATTATGTGGATGGATTTCAATTTGGCCTTTAGACTGATTATGAAATGAAGTATGTCCCTCTTGATTCTTCTGTATCTTTTGGCAGTGTTCACTATAACTGGCCATGGTATCCTGCTAGATCTCTCCAGGATGAAGATTTAGAGGCACTGATGTATGGTAGCTCTAGTCTTTCCAGGGGGAAGCTATTCAGCCCAATCTAGCTCAATCAGTTCCTTCTTACTGTGAACCACCACACCAAAATTGTTTATGACAATGTTGACTGTGACCATATTCCAATAGAGTTTGCTGAAGGCTTCATAAGATTTAGGTATGCAAAAAGGTACATTAATTTCAGGGGTGAAAGGAAGTATTTGAAGTTTAAATTGAGAAAGAAATAAGTAAAGGTTCATGCATGTTTGTTTGCTCATTCCATCGTAAGGAGATCAGCAGAAGCAGGTGCCATAATCTACATTGCATATCCAGAGACACAACATTCCTCATCACAGTTATATAGGCCTGAGGGCTTACACTTTCCAGAAGGGGGGCACAATAAATACTGTACAGGCTGTACAGAAGAGATTAGTGGGGCTAAGGTGGCAGGACTAGCCCCTTCCAACAACAGAGAAAGTGCAAGCAGCAAACTAAGTACAGATAGATCTCCACATTTGCAGGTTTCACTTTTGTAGCTTTGATTATTCAATTATTTGATTAATATATTATGTCTAGGAATCTCTATGGTCAACTTCCATAAAAGTGAAAGCTGACCAGTCACGCTGGAGGATCTAGAGATCCCTAAAGAGAACAATTATGTCGACAACTATAGGTCTTCCAGCATGATTATACGGTTTACTTGCATAAATTAGCTATGAAGTTATGCTGGAGGACCTAGAGATTCCTAGAGGTATGTACTATCAGATTTTTAAAAAGCTTTTTATTCACATTTTTGCTACTTTCCACTTTCACGGGTGTCCTGAGCCCCTAACCTTGGTGAATGTGGATGCCTGATTATAATGCTTATTGTTATGTCTTTACTTGTATGGAGTGATTTTCTCAGACCAGTCCCTCAGAATAACAGGGGGAAAAAGAAAATCAACCTAAGAGCATGCCTACCTCATAGCACTAGAGTTATTTTGAAGACTGCTAACTTAGGCTTACTGCCTTCTCTGTTACTTGCTTTCACAGCTTCTGTGGTATCTTGGACCATTACATGGAATTCAGTACAGTGGAACCTCTACTTAAGAGTGTCCCAACTGAAGAGCATTTTGAGTTAAGAGCTGTCGCTCAGCCTGCATTTAGTTTTGACATAAGATCAGTATTTTGAGTTAAGTGCTTGTGCCAGAGGGAGGACTAGCACCAGAGGGAGGACTAGCATGAGAGTACAGGGCTTTAGAGCTTCAAGGGAGCCCCTCCGTGCCTCATGCTCTTGTCTGCTTTGAGGAACTTTGGATTGGTTGGTTTTCTGTGATTTTTATTCCTGGTATGTTGGCTTCATGAAGAGAGGGGGGAGGGAGAATGAAATGAGTACAGTATGAAGAAAATGCCTCTTCACTTTGTGCTTAGCACTTCCTTGCCACAACTTTGTGCTTCTACCATTGTGATACAGCTTTTTGGTTCCACCATTCTAAAGCTGATCTTTTTTATTGTTTCATATGAATATTTGTTATTTATAAAGTACATTTTCTTATTTAAAAACTCGTAACAAAAAATGAGCAGTGTATGGGGGAGTCAGAGGGCCGGAACAGAGTAACAGTATTTCAATGGGAAAATTCACTTTGAGATAAGGGCATTTTAAGTTAAGAGCTTGATCATGGAATGAATTAAACTCTTAAGTCAAGGTATCACTGTATATATTATTCATGGGTAAATATGCACAGGTCTACCATGTTGGAAAAGGAACGTTTAGTTGAGATGCAGATAAGACACTCTGAACCAGATCTAGTTATGTACACTGAGATATTATTATTAATTACCCGCCTCTCCTTTTGGTGCAAGACAGGCACAACATAAGTCAAATAATCTATAAAACCACTTATTAAAGCATAGTGAAAATGGAACCATAAAAGCACATATTAAAGCATAAAAATATGAAAATATCTGAGACAAAAGTTAAAACACAAAAAAAATAGAATGTGATTTAAAAGTCACAATTAAAACACAATTACTATGCCACATTTACAAAGTTCTGACTTTGATTTGATTTAAAATGTTCTCTCTAAGAATCTATAGGTTCCACAGTGTTCTATTTGCTGGGAGACCTAGAAATTCCTAGAAAGATTTTTTTAGATAAAAAAGTATTTTTTACTTGCAGTTTTTCACTTTCACAAGGGTCCTGTGCCCCTATACCAAGAAAATGGGGAGGGATGATTGTTGATGAAAATGTGCAGCCAGTGTATATGGATCACATTATCAGGGCTGAAGTGTGAGCAGGACAACAGTCTTCCCGCTGTTTACTGTCATTATCCGGTTCCTTCAGTGACAGTGATGTCATGGCCTAGTTATGTGTTCTCCACAAGCAGGAAATCTTTTTAAAAGAAGCCAAAATACAAACTACAAAGTCCAAGTGGTTAAGGCCTGATCTACCTAAATCTTTCTTAATTCCAAATAAGCTGCTTCATATTTTCAAACATTAACCTAAATCATTGTCAATCCTGCCTTGGGACATTTTGAATCAAAAGTGCCTACAAAGTTTGGTCTTGTTCAGCATTCTTTGATTTTTACATTTGAAGAAACCACACAACTATGAATCCAAATCATTACATTCTTGGGAGGTAATTACAGCAGAAGTTTAGTAGACTACTTATAAGAAAAGATTCTAGAATGTAATCACACTACACTGTAGGCCTCTAAAGAAACTCCTGTATCAGCTAGACTTTGGAGGTATCTTATAAATACATTTGTAATATCTATGTGTCAACCATTTACTTTATGTTTCCACAAGCTATCATTCTTTTTTCTGTTTTGAAATGTTTACAATAAAATACAACAGTTTCTAAAAGTTCCATTTTTAAGCATGCATATTCAGATGTTACTCTTAATAAGTTCAACAAACCATAACTAACACTACAGTCCAAAGAACAAGAGGTTGTACTCCTTAGCCTTTGCTTCACAGAAAATGAAGTCAATTTTTGCAATAATAAAGTCTAAGTCTGAAGGATCAAGATGTCATCCATTTGAAGATTCAAGGCAGTTTTCCCCTTTCACACCTTTCTCTCCACCACAAAGCACTTCAAAACAAACAAACAACTACTTCCAAACAAAAATACATGAAAGCGTAAAACGATATCCACTGCTGTACTCTTAAGATGCTACAGATTTTATATTCTTTTAAACCCAAGAAACATAAAATGTCCCACAAATTTAAAAAATGTAAAACAAAACCAGATATTTCAGAATGTTAAAATACTAGAAACGTCCTTTGTCTCAAGTCTCTTTGCTTTAAAAATAAATGTTAGAATTTGCATAATCCTTTCCTCCAACACGCATTACTCTTTCGGATATGCTTAACAGAAGCAATTGTCTCTCTGGCCCTTAATTCCAAAGAAACACATTTAATCTTTTAAAAAAGATTTGAACAGTCCTCTGCCCTCTCTTCCAACAAGCATCATTTTTTCAGCTACAGTATGTTTAACTGAAATGGTTGTTTCACTGGCAGTTTATTTCCATCAGTAGAGCTAAGAGTTCTCCGTTACAAAAGTACTTTATAAAAGAAAGTGACTGGAAACCACTGTTTTGATGAGTCCTAGCACTGCTAGGCAGAAGTTTTGAGAAAAAGACTGAAAACAGTTTTCCAGAGGGTGTGTATGCAGCAGTTCATACCAATGCCTCCTTGCCACAAGACTCATTATTATGGCATCCAAGTTAAAGGGAAAGTGATTACTCATAACACCAAAATCAGATTAAAGACGCCAAGATCCCAGGAGGGGTAAAGTGGGAAAAGACTGTCCTATGAAACGGAACAAAAGGCGACAGGCCTCACAATGGCAAAAATACTAAAAATACTATCCGATCCACAGTCAGCCCAGTGGCGTCTGTCTTTTTACCTGTGCTGAGAAGGCGGGTGCTGGTGATGATGATGATGGAGGGGGTGAATCATGCCCGCGACGGTTCTCTTCGTCTTCCGGAGAATCATCCAGGAGAACTTTGCCACTCTTGTTGAGTTTCCACATTATTGGGGGGAGGGGGGGGGAGTGGGAAGGTGAAGGGAAGCAAACTGGGGAGGGAGGAAAGGAGGGAGAGAAGTGGGTGGTTGAGCCTGTCTTATTTATCCCTGAGAAAAGTGGAGGAGAGAGGGAGRGAGAGAGAGAGAGGGAGAGAGAGAGAGAGAGAGAGAGAGAGAGAGAAGGGGAAAATGGGAATGACTTTGCTATTCAGGTTAGTTAGAACTGCCCTGGAAAAGGAAAAAAAGAGCGCTTTGAAAGACACCTTGGCCCAGGCATAAAAGCCAAGAGATCAGACGAAAAATATGCAAAACAAAAGTGCACGGAATATGTAAAAATAGTAATAGAGGCAAGAAGTGAAGAGGCACTCCCCACTCACCAGGCCCACAGCCTCACACCTTCAAGGCCCGGAAAACCCACCAAGGAGCAGCTCCATCTTATTCCATGCCAAGAAAGGAGGCGTGGGCCTCCGAAGCTCCAGAAAAGAGAGCAAAAAAAGACACTCCCACTTTTGAATATGGATCTGGTTGGACTGGAGATTCAGCCGAGTCAGAAGTGGCTTCGATCTGTACATGCTCAGAGGTACCTCTAAGGAGTTAAAGGGGTGCTGAAGAGGGGAATCTCAAGAAGGGACCCTGATACTTTGGAGAGGGGAGGGTTTGCTAGGGACGAGGCTCTCCCATTCCTAATCATGTATACAATTTGCTGAGATAGAGATTCAGGTAAGTCAGAGGCAATTGCAATCTGCACATGCTCGAGGCACTCTACGCAGGAAAAAGGGCACTGAATGGGGAAGAAGGAAGGTGCTTTTCCTGCATGACAGGCCCCTTCCACACAAGTGAAAAAAATCCCACATGATCTGCTTTGAACTCAAATATATGGCAATGTGGACTCGGATAACCCAGTTCAAAGCAGATATTGTGGGATTTTCTGCTTTGATATTCTGAGATATAGGGCTGTGTGGGAAGGCCCACAGAGGGTTAGACTAGATGGCCCATGTGGTCTCTTCCAACTCTATGATTCATGCTGCGGGAAGTAATGAGACCCTCTCATTCTCCAATGAGTATCCAGCCTAGTTGCCACAGGGTAATGGCTCAGGTGAGCCAGAGACAGCTGCAATCTGTACATGCTCAGAAGCAACCTTGATCAGGAAAAAGAGGGCACCAAAAGCAGAAAAACTCAGGAAGGTGTTTAAGATCAATTAAGTGGGTGCTGGGGTTTTAAACTTTGAATGTGTCTTAATGGCTTTTTAACTGGGAATTTTTCTAATTCTGGTTCTATTTAAGTCTGTTTGAATGTTCCTGTATTTGTCTATTTTCAAATGGTTACGCTGGTGCTTTTCTTTTAAGTCGCCTTGCACCCCCTTTGGTGGAGATAAAGCGGATTATGAATAAATATAGTAAAGGTAAAGGTTTCCTGACATTAAGTCTAGTCATGTCCGACTCTGGGAAGTGGTCTTCATATCCATTTTTAAGCCAAAGAGCCGGCGATGTCCATAGATGCCTCCAAGGTCATGTGGCCGGCATAACTGTATGAAAAAGCAGGAAAGTATTGATCTACTCACATTTGCATGTTTTCGAACTGTTAAGTTAGCAGAAGCTGGAGCTAACAGCAGGAGTTCATCCCACTCCCCGGATTTGAACCGCCAACCTTTTAGTGAGTAAGTTCAGCAGCTCAGCGGTTTAACCCCTGCACCACCAGGAGACCCAAGCGGGGTATGAATAAGTATGAATAAATATAATAACAATAATTTCCCAGTCCTAAAATAGTATACAATTGGGTTAATTAGTCATGTAATATTACTAATAATATTGCAGTAGAGTACAATATATGTTAATATTGTGCTATGCCAATAATATCATATATTGTATATATAATAATAATGATGATGATGCAATGTAATACAATACTAGTATTATAATTACTATAATAATTATAATACTGATAATATATAATAATTAACAATACTGTTTTATTCTTGCATATTTGTATATTTTAAGTTATTCTGAAAGCTATCAAGTAAAGAACACATTTCCTGGGAGAAGAACCAGGAAAATAAGATTCTGATTGTAAATAGATGGGTCAGCTGCTGTCCTTTCCTTTTTGCTTTGTCTTTTACTCTAGTTGTATTTTGAAATGATCAAATAAATAAATTAAATAAATATTATATTTTAAGTTGTATTGAATTGTTTTTAGCTGTGAGACTCTGAGTATCTGTATGGAGAGATAAAGCGGGATATAAGTAAATAAGTGAAGAGAGTGGGGGCCAGGGGACAGTTCCATCTTGTCTCCTCTGCTATTCTAGTAATATAAGATAATATATTGTATATATTGTATAGGAGCCCCCGGTGGTACAGTGGGTTAAAGCGCTGAGCTTGTTGACCGAAAGGTTGCAGGTTCGATTCTGGGAGCGGCGTGAGCTTCCGCTGTCAGCCCTAGCTTCTGTCAACCTAGCAGTTCGAAAACATGCAAATGCGAGTAGATCAATAGGTACCATTCCAGCAGGAAGGTAATGGCGCTCCATGCAGTCATGCCGGCCACATGACCTTGGAAGTGTCCATGGACAACGCCGGCTCTTCGGCTTAGAAATGGAGATGAGCACCACATCCCAGAGTCAGGGGACAACGTTTACCTTTAATATATTATATATACACATAATGTTTATAATATTATAATGCAATGCAATATAATACTACTAATAATAAGATATTATAATTATATATTTATATTACATGTAATATTAATAATAATAATACAATATAACGGTATAGTCCAATATAGTAATATTTAATGATGATATTGTACTATGCTAATAATATAATATATTGTGTGAAGTGAAGCTGCTCTGCGTCCCCTTCGGGGTGAGAAGGGTAAATCAATACATAAATAAATTATTCAGAGGCAGTTGCAGTCTGTATATGGGTGGCTGTATGTTTTTTCGGGCTATATGGCCATGTTCTAGAGGCATTCTCTCCTGACGTTTCGCCTGCATCTATGGCAAGCATCCTCAGAGGTAGTCTGTACATGCTCAGAGGCACTCAGAGGCCCCAATCAGGGCCCACAAACAGGGAGATTAGATGCAAGAGACCCTCCCCTTCTTCAAAATGCTATCTCCTCCGGCTGTGGCTGGGGAGACACAGACACCAGAAGCAATAGCAAGCTGTACCTGGCCAGAGCGGGAAAAATAGGGCTTGAGGCTGAGGGAGGGGAGCAAGAGGCCTTCCTCCAAAATGTGGCTGTGGAGGAAAGAAGGGAGAAGGGACGGAGACACCAGGAGGAGGAGGCGAATAAGATGGCCCTCCTTCCCTCAAGGCCCTTCTCCCGCCGCCCCCACCCCACCGACCCCTTCCCCCTTCACCTGGGACCGTCGAGAGAGAGCAGCGCCGCCGCCAAAGCAGCAGCAGCAACAGCAGCAGCTCCGAAGCGGAGAGCGGCCAACGCTGCCATGTTTGCAGCTGACTGACTGGACGGAGGGAGGGAGGGGCGCGCGGAGGGGGAAACAGCCAGCCGGGGGGCGGGGGGAGGGAGAGAGGGAAAGGGCTTGCCGCGTTGTCACGGCAACCGCGCGTGCGCCCCCTCCCTCGCGCACACCCCCTTCCTCGCGCACACTGGAAGAAAGTGGGGGGGGGGCTCCTCTCCTTTATATACATGGGCAAACTTGGGCCTTCCAGGTGTTTTGGACATCAGCTCCCACAATGACTTCATGTCATTTCCTAATTGGTTCTGTCATTATCAAAAGAAACACATACGTGGGAAAAGTTTATTAAGCTGCAAAAACTTTTGGTTTTTTGTGTCACATCCTGCAGCACCATTTATTCTAGTTTTTCAATGAATTATTGTTATTCACTGCCAGGCCATCAAGTGCTAATCAAGGTGGTCAGTTGAAACATTCACATCTCCAGCAGGCAAGAGTCCTTTGTCCCACCCGGGTCATTCCACAGATATATAAACCCATTTTCCTAGTTCCAACAGACCTCACTACCTCTGAGGATGCTTGCCATAGATGCAGGAGAAACGTCAGGAGAAAATGCCTCTAGAACATGGCCATATAGCCCGAAAAAACCTACAACAACCTAGTTATTATTATTGACACAAAAAACACAGTATGACACAGCAAATGAGATATATATGCTGGATTTCGTATCACAAAATCACAAGTCAAACACTTCAAACAAGTATTTAGGACTGTGTGATGTAATTATTTATTTATTTATTTGACCAGTCATATGACGAATTCAAAATGACTTTGTGATGTAGTTTTGAATGATGTGCGCAGATCCAAGTAAGGTGGCCTTTTGCAGTTGACAGATTGTGATTTTGTCAATGTTTATGGTTTCCAAATGCTGACAGGTCTTTTGGCACAGCACCCAGTGTGCCGATCACCACTGGGATCATCTGTACCAGTTTATGGCAGAGCCTTTGCAGTTCCAGTTTGAAGTCTTGATAACAGCTGAGTTTCCTGTTTTTTGTCAATTCAGCCATCACTTGGTATGGCGACTTCAATAATCCAAACTTCTTTCTTTTCCACAGTCGTGATGTCTGGTGTATTGTGTTCCAAAACGTTTTCAGACTGGATTTAAAAGTCCCACAGTAATTTTGCATGTTCATTATCCACTACCTTTGCAGGTTTATGATCCCACCAGTTCTTTACTACTGGCAGATGGTACTTGTGCCAAAGCTCCAATGAATCATTTGGGCCACAGAGTTGTGCCTCTGTTTGTACCACCAAACCCTTCTAGTGTTTTCTCTTGGTCATGGGAGTCCTGTGTGCCACATTTGGTTCAATTCCATCGTTGGTGGAATTCAGAATGCTCTTTGGTTGTAAATCCCAGCAACTACAACTCCCAAATGGCAAACTTATATATTTTTTGAGTGATGGTCACTCCCTGGGTCAGTAGGTGTCTTGTGGCCAAATTTGGTGTCAATTCGTCCAGTGGTTTTTGAGTTATGTTAATCCCACAAACGATATATGCTCATATAGATTCTTATACATTCATATAGCAACTCACAAAACCCATATGTATATGTTTATTTGTGTGTCTGTCTGTCTATATGACTGCTCATCATAGACATACTCATCACATATAGAAACTCATAGAGGAAAACCAGTGAGCTCTAATGAATTTAGTCCCCCGAGTCAAGCCTGCTCAACAGGCTATGCTTGATTTAAAAACAGAATGGAGAATTCCAATACAAACAAAGCTCTGTAGAAGTGTGAGTGACTATTCGATACATGACACTCTTTATCAATGTCTGAGGCAAACCACAACATAAATATGACACCAAAAAAGTGGCTCAAAAAAGTCTTGTTTGTTTTCGGAAAGCTGTTCATGTTGTCCAAGCCAAGTTCCAGTGATCAGCTATAATTCCCTTCTAAGAGCAAATCCCTCTGCTATTTCCTCTGTATAAAAGCAATGATCTGTAATCATCTACTTAGTTAAGATTACTTAGAATCATAGCATCTTTGGGTCAAACACTCTGCTGTACAGGAACACACAATCAAAGCATTCCCGACAGATGGCCATCCTCTGGTCACAAACCTAAAGCAAGGAGGCTGCATATTCCACTACCAAAAAGTTCTTACTCTCAGGAAGTTCTTCCTAATGTTTAGGTGGAATCTTTTTTTCCTGCAATTTGAATCCATTTGATATYGAGCTACTTTTAGTAGGGTCTCCTCAAGAGAAGAGAACCCGAGGACCGCGCCAAAAGGGCCCTGGATACCTTGGTGAGGCCAGCGAAGCCAAATTGTGATAAAAATATTAAAAATAATAATGCCCCATCAAGGTGGAAGAAGTTTCCAGCAACCGAGGTTTATTTGTGATTCAGCTGAGATCAGATGCATTGCAGGAATCATTCCACTGCAAGCATACCAGTACAAAGAATACAGGCATATTTATAGCATGCAGACAAAGGGAAACAGTTTCAAAATTCCCGCCCGCCCTCTGCCGGCTGGCTTCGTGCTGATTGGCTGGCCGCGGAACAGCTGGGAGGAGGCTTGGCGGCACGCCTCGCCTCTGGACCAATCAGCGAGCTCCACTGCCTCTGAGAGGCCAATCAGTGCCTTCCTAGCGCCTCTGAAGATGGACCAATCGGCAGCTAGGAGGCGGGACGAAGCCTGACAAAGACTGAGGAAATGACAGCCTTAAGGGCATCCGCCAGCTGGAATGTGAGGCTTTGTCCT